ATCTAAATATAGAAATGTGATAATATACTAATACGAGATAGTTATATGATATAAAAATATAGAAATAATTATAAAATATAAAAGTTATAAGAAAACGTGATTTTGCATAACCACAAAAAGATTAAGGAATTAGGGATTTTTATGCTACTACGGTAACAATATTTTATTAATTTATAAATTATAAAAAATATAGATCAGTATAAAAAGATTTGTATCTCAATATAAAAATTAATAATTATTTCTAATAAAATTATTCAAATTTTAACTAACCTTTATAATTTTTTTATATTAAATAAAAAATGATCTAAATTAACTTTTATACTATTTTAATTATTCTATTATACTTTAATTCAATAATAAATAAAGTATTATTTTACTAAAAAAGAAACTAAAATAAAATTATTTTTTTAAAAAAAAGATATTTTGAATATTATTACTATTAATTTATAATATTATAACTTCAAATTATACAAGCAAATTACTTTAGATTTGATAAATATATATTCTAAATTTCATAAAAATTAAATTAGTAATTATAAAAATATTAAGATTCAAATTTAAGTAATTAAATTATTTACTATATAATTTTTATATTAATTTAATCAAATTTTATATAGTAAAATTTAAGAAATAATAATTGAAAAAGCACTTATTAGTAAAAATTTTTACATTTAAATAAATTCTAATATCTAATAACTTAATTAAATAAGATAAAATTAAAATTTTATTTTGAAAAAATAATCTATTAATATTTTTTTGAGATACAAATCTTTTTGTACTGTTTTATATTATATATATTATAATAAAATATATTTATTATATTAATAATTTTTAATATAATTAACAGATTTAAAAAATTATATCTTTATATAGAACAGTTTTAATAGTTTTATATAATAATAATTTTGTTAAATCTGGTATTATTATTAATTAAAATAATTTGAAGTTAGATTTTTATTAATATTACTTCTTTTATTTAATTACATATAAATAGTTAATAATAAATAGAATACTTCTTAAGCTCTATTCTGTGCTTATAATTTAATTGAACATATTATTCAGATTTTTATATATAAGAAAAAAATCAAGATTGGCTCCTAGACCAGTTCAAAAATATTGTCCAAATATCTACATAATTAAAGTATTAAATAAATTTTTGTTCAAACTATTCAAAATTGTCTAAGAGTTAATCCTGAAGAAAATTTATTATATATTTTTGAATAAATCTTTACTACTTTATTATATCAAAGAAAATTTATTTATTGAGCTTAGTTTATATAGGAAAAATTTATTGTTATACTTTTATTTTGCAATAGTTTTTCAGACTAATATATATGTGCTTACATTATTAAATTCTAAATTTCTGAATGAATCTAAAAAATTATATTTGAACTTATTGTAAATTGTGTTAGAAACTTCATTCAATTTAAATTATTTCTATTGCATTTGGCCATAAGTTTATGTTTATTTTTTAATTCCTGTTTCATCAAACTTCCATCACTTGTTCGAATTCTAATTTCATATATGAATTCAAATAAAAAGTATTCAAGAACTTGTTTGGTCAAAGTGATCTCTTTTTCGTTTTCATACGAGGATATATTTACATTAATACTAAATCGACTTTGTTATTTGTTAGTAATTCTACTCATACATCAAAAGTTAAATTAATTTTCTCTTGGATTTGCTTTTGTCTTCTTACATTACTTAATTGAGCTCGGGCTATAAGTTTCGAATTATCACCTTGGGAAATTCAGCTAATGTAAATCACTGATTTTATTCTGTAAATTATATATAAAAACCTCAACGATGCCACTGTTGAACCAACATTAATTTTATCATTTCCAGTGCTATCCCTAATCCCAATAACCACTATTTTAATTTGGAAATCTATGAGTTCAGATAAAAAGATTGCTAATAAGAAATATTAAATTAATAATCGAGATTTTTGAAAATACAGAATAATTCATTGAAGTCAAAAATATTCGCGATTTTATAAAAGAATTCTTTGAGGATTGTTTCGTTTACAGTACAGTCTGTTCTCGTTGTTATTGACTTCACATGACTTTGCAATTTGTTTATATAGACGAGCGTAGATAACAACGAGAATCGTATTCTCCCACAATAACATAACCTGCATATAAAAACATCACCACAGTTTAGATCAAAAAGTAGAAAGTTATGATAAGTGTCGCTATAATAAGCATCATCTAAGATTAATTAAAAAAATTTACAATAATGATAATTTTTTTGATCCAGGAGGAAGAGAAATTGTGGTTGATGATTTTGTTTTAGGTGAGAAGAGAACAAATCTTCCTTATATTGCACTAATTTAGGAATAAGCATCACTGAGTGATGCTTATTTCCGGATGATACTTATTCCCGGTTGAATCCGGTAGATATTCAAGAAACGGTCTAGAAACAAGCACCACTCCCTATTTTGGAGTCCAATCAAGTGGTGCTTATTTCTGAGGTATACGGTACTTACATATGCGTAAAATAAAAAGGAATTTTATATCAAAAAATCTGTTTTTTGACTTATGTTGCTAACTATATGACTGTATTTAAAAAAGGAAGAAACATAAAGAACACGTTTATTTACATTAGTATTTTCATAAAACAAAAAATGCATGAAAAGGAATGATTATTTACAAAACCTCTCTAAGAAAAAATCTATTGGATTGAATAAATAACGAGAGTAATCGTTGTTCCCATTACATACTTGAATTATTTTTAATGCCGTGTACATGTATTTGTTTTGAAATTACAAATGAATTAAAGTAATTTCATGCAAATATCAGTAATATGCTTATTATTTTTATTTAAATGTTCTAGTTAAGAGAGTTATTTGCTTATAATAATTGTACAGTAAACTCCCGCAATAGTACAACCACAATTGTCACAATCGTATTATGATCACATTAATTTTCTGCCTTATCGCTATATACAATATACATACAAATTTTGCACATTCCTGTATTAGTCACAATCCCGCAATAGGCACATAAAATGCTTGATTTTAGCACGTGAATATGGCAAAAGTAGAGCATTTATATATTTTCACAGTTATCGATCTTTTCATTAGATGGCAGTATTATAATCAGCAAGCAAATTATCAGAAGAAGCTAACACTTTCAACGATATAATCCTAACGGTTTGTTGCATTCAAGAGATGTATATTAACTATTCCCGTCCCATTACAGGAATCGCATGGTTCATGGTTTGCGAAGCGGACTTGCGATTACACTACCTTAATAATTAAAAATGTGCGAGGTGATGATGAGCTTTACGTTGCTCATTTTGGGCTTCTATTTTATTTTTTATATTTTCGTATTATATGCTTTACTATAATAATATTTATGAGGAAAACATATGCTTTATTGAATTAATAATTTACGCAAAAGCAAAAATTTATTGATTACATAATAGAATTTATATCGATAATCAAAAGATTGAAAACTTTTGATATTTGTTTATTTTATATTGTATGGTATGAGAAATGAAGTATTGGCAAAGATAAAAAGTTGTATTCAATTAAAATTACATCATGAAAAAGAAAGATAACACGTAAATAAATATATTGCAACTTGGGTCACATTCGCCACTTTCGTATCATTAAATAAATTCTAGCACAACATGTATTCAAATAGATACACTGCCACTCTCATAGATAACACTGCCTCTTTAAATATGATATACAACAGTAGTTATTGATGTGTTGATTTTGAGACATTGCCATCCCATTGACATCCATAAATTACACTGCCTTTACAAATATACGACATGATTATGTTAATCACGAGAACACCGCCTCTCTCATAAATTACACTGCCTTTCTCAAAACTTGCACCGCCTTACTTAAATGTTACCGAGCTTCTGAATAAAATATGAAGCGGATTTTTTACAGGGCAAAAGAAGATTTTTATAGTATCCTATGCAAATATGTTTTATCAATTCAAAAACAATATAAAAAGAGAGAATCTCACATCCAACTTCTTCCTCTATACAACCGTTTCTAATCAAAAAGATTAATTTCTGAATTCGCTAAACGAAAATGATTAAACATATAAACCTCTTTTTTGTTTTTGCCGCGGTCTTTGCTTCAATTTTCGCTTCCGTAAATGGAGCCATTGTAGCAAAACGAGATCCGTATGAAGTTGATGCAGCTGTCGAATTCAATCACAATGCTCCAAATTGTGAGATAGATGGTCAAGTCCTCTTCTCCCAATTTGAAGACGACTATGTTAGAATTTCAGGTTTATTCTGGGGTGGATTTTACTGGTTGGATCCAGGCTCCTATCGTTTTCAAATCTGGACCGAGAAGAATACAGGAGGCATTCTTGAAGTAAAATTGAACCCAGGATTTTACGTTTATGGCAATGGTGGTACATCTCAATTTGAATTATACTCATCTGACATTACACTTGATAATATTGGTTATCCGGACGCTGAAGACGTTTCTGGTCTGTGGTTAAGAATTTATCATGATACTATTTTATTATGTAGCGCAAGAATAAACATTCAGTAAATTTTCATTTATGTAATTTACTTTAATCTATTTGTGTTCTGAATATGTATGTTAAATATTATTTAATTATAATTGTAAATAAATTGAAATACAACTTTCTATGAATCTTTAAAGAATTTTTATAATATTTTGCAATACAAGAAATTTTTTACGGTATATCATCTTTGCATTCGCTTCAATCTCATATTCTTTGTTCAATTGATAAAATTCTTGAAGTTATTTTAATCCGTCCATGACGATTTCAACAAATGATAAATTTTCTACAAAAATAGGTCACTTAACAAAAATTCATATTAAAAGCAATTTTCACGTTTATTTTTTGATTTTTGAATTTGCACATTTAAATTCTCAGGTAGATATTTGTTTTATTTTTGGTAGGCGCCTCTTAAAAAGCCTCTTCAGCCACGTCGATTTGTTATACATGCATGTGCATCCTAAACATTTAAAGTCTCAATGTAAGAAATAGGACGAAATTCATTACTGTGTTATTGATCAGGATTAAATGATTTTTATTGTTTGCAATTGGACGATTGTATATAACAGGCGGAAGTTTCATTTTTAAATTAAAGTATAACGTAAAATTTTAATACGTGTATTCATAATTTAAGATCACATGAATGATGATTCGCTATGCTTTTGTCTTTGGCCTCTAATAGATTTTGAATCGAATTTCTGTACTTAAAATTGACATCAAATATACAATTTTTCAATTCTAGGATCAATCGGATCGATAACTTAATTAAAATAACCAATTCATATTATAAGTTTTAAATCGTCCAGAATTTCAAAACTTAAGCCACATTCGTTGCCTCGTTTATTATGCACGTGCATGTAACACAGTATATGACCGGGCTATGTTACTTTAGCACAGCCAAATGATGGACAAATAAGCTGAATACGCATTCTAAAAAGCCCAAATGTTACTTTTGTATACCATTGTGATATATTTATAGTTAGTAAATCAATAATGTAAAGAAAATCGATGGTGTCATTATCATTACATGTATGTATATCCAACTTCCTAAAAGTATTGTATTTTTATACAAATTCTAAACATTTTATTCTGTCTTCCAAAAATTTTAGAGTTGTTAACTGAATTAGAGCGTCAGTAAAAATGTCGTACGATGGATCTATTCAGGGATTGTCATTTAACGTTAACATAAATTCACACCGATACATTAAAACTAGATAGAAATATCATTGTTATATTATACAATGATTCGATTTAAGCTATTTTTATAATGTGTATCCCGTGCGTTACTAAAGCTCTTTTTGATTAATGCTAATACGTATTTATCAAGTCTACCGTTATCATCAGCATTTAGCGTTAGGGCTACATACATGTTTCAAGTCCAAATATAATGCTAAATTAATAGGGTGATACCGATATTTATTGTACCGTGAATGGTAAGCCAACAGTAATCTTATCTGAATCATTTAATTCGGACACCACAACCAACGTCGGTAGGCTTTTAGCAATATTATTTATATTGACGTTAATAAATAAATGTACGTGGTACAATTATTCAGGACAAATAAATAGTAATAATGAATAAATAAAATAACAAATAAAATGTTACAATCATTATTTTGTGTATTAATTAATAAGCCATTGACTGTTGGATTTTATTTGTATTATAGACAATCGACCTTGTTATATTGTGGCTTTTCTTTTTGATACTTACTTAAATTGTAATTGTATGATAGATATTGCATGAAAAAAGTATATTTAAAGAATAAATAATGATATATTTGAATAAGAAATAAAGGAAGTTTTTAATAATATGTCATAATTATAAAGCCACGTCTTTTGTATATTGGGCTTAATCCAATAAAAACAAACACTATAAATATAGATAATATCAAAAATCAGCAAAGTCAGTCAGATCTATATAAGATATTTACTGCATAAAATTTAACTAGAAAATTTTGATATTATATTTATATGAGTTTTCTAACTAAAACGATTAGATTCAAGGTACTTATAAGCACCAAGTATTTATTCAAAGTCAAATAATTTATCTTATGAGAACATAATATAGTACCATGAAGCTCGTTTGTGCATATCTTATGTAGCTTGAAATTTTTCGTATTAACTCATCTTTTGGGAAGACCAGCAATTAGTGTTAGCATATACAGGCCAGAGCCCTAACAGAATATTGTATTTGAAATATCAAGCTAAATAATCAAAATATTAAATAAAGTAAAATTTTAAATATCCAGTGATCAAAATCACATAAAATTGCTATGGTTGAATTCGCCATAACTAGACGAATCAAATGGTGGTATATTTGTGATTTTGATCATGGGTATCGAGATATCATATTTCCTTACGTTATAATAATTTTCTTATAAATTTTTTAACTGGACTTTCGATAATATGTTTACTATTACTTTTTTCTAATTCCTTTATCCAAAGTCAACCAAAATTAATAGCGAATCCTATTTTTTATATACTGATCAATTAAGAAAGCATATTCGTGAAATATTCATCGTATAAATTGTATGAATGCAAGGTTGAGTCTTAATTCATGCTACAGTACATGGATTTGTCATGTTATTCTAGCTCAAGTTGTAGCACAAATAAAAGAAACCAAAATGATCTCAACAAAATAATAACTCAACTTTGAACTTATCAATCTTAAATCGCTTGTAAAGCATTTATATTTATCATTAACATTAATAGACATAATAAATCACTTCATGAATTTCAGTGTGGTCTAAATACAATCAAACCTCGTTAATATGACAGCCATTAATATGACAACTCGTTTATATGACCAAACAATACAGTCATTTATATATAAAATTGTTCGTTATCATGACACACTAGTTATGAAATTTTCCCTTAATGTGTACCAACAATGTCCTATTAACGAGGGCTAACTGTATATAGAAAACAATCTTTCACTTGATTGAAAAAAGGAAAGGATGGCAGATTTCGTTGTTTAAAATATTTAAGTTTCAAAACTTCTCTTCACTCAAGAATTCATATTACATTATGTTCAGCAAATTATGAAGAAAGATTTGAATTTTAGTTCATAAAACATAGAAATTTAATCGATTTTTAATTGTTAGAATCCATAAGTTATATATTAGTTTTGATAATTTAAGCATAAACATTATGTATCACCAGCTCAAATGAAGATTAAATGAACAAATTCATTAATTAATAGATTCCATGGTTTATATCACTTGTAGTACATTTAAAAATATTATTTAATTTGATAATAATAATATAATTAATAAGAAATATAAGTTAAAAAATGTAAAATTATAAATATAATACATATAATATATGTTAAAAATCATTTTGTAAATCACTGAAAGAGAGTTAGTCTAAAAATAATAAAATAAATATCAAATAATATATAAAATTATTTTAACTTTTATTATATATTTAATAAGTATATTTAGTGACAATTTATCTATATTGCATATGTAATTATATAATTATAAGTAGTAGCTGTATATTTAAAATAATATAAAATAATGCTTTTATACTTTTCTTTAATTTATATAATTATATAATTATTCCTAAAACTTATTAAATTATATTTGTTATCTTTTTTCAATTCTAGTTATATATCAAGACTAATTAATACTTAATTCTACTTATAAAATTATAATAAAACTTATATAATTTTTCATATAATAAACAAGTAATTTTCTACTTATAATAAAATTCAAAATAGAAATCTTGATATTTTCTTGATATTTAATAAAATTTATTTTTATATTTGAAATTAAAAAGTTAAAATAAAAGATATATTAGTATTATATAATTCTTTTTATTATATATAGATATTGTGATTTAATTTTAATTTTTTTAAATATTTCATAATAAATAATAAGAATATTTTTTTTATTTATATATCTTTTTAATATTATTATATAAGAGAAATATTATAACTTGCTTATTAAATAATTATTTATCTATATATTCTTATATATTATTATATTATTATTTTTAAAAAATTTATTTTTATAAAATTAATATATTAGATATATAATAATAAAAAATTTATTTATTAATTGACTTTAATATAAGCTAAATTCTATATATATTGTATTATTATAAAGAGCTTTAATAATATAAAAGATAATAGAATATTAATTTTAATAATTATAATAAATATTTAATATATAAAATAAAAAGTTAATATAAGAAATATAAATTAAAAAATTATAATTAGATCTTTTTATAGTCAAATCTCTTTATAAATATTTTTTATAATCATTAATTACTTATTATTAAAAAAAATTCTTTATAATGATATTTCTTTTTAATTATAATAATTATAAAAAGATCTAATTATATATTAGAAAAATTTATTATTAATTAAGTAAAATAAAATATTAATTAATTAATATAATAAATTTATTAAATATTATATATAACAAATTTAATTTTCTCTTACAGATCATTATTGTACTACATATGGTACCATATGTGATATTGCATCACAAAAATTATTTTATAAAGTCATATGATATACTTAAGCTATTTTAACTATAAATAATTTTCTTAGTAGAATTTCTCTTTTTTCTTGTTTTACTAATTTAGCTAGCATATTATTATATTTATATATTTTATTTATAATTATTTATTTTTTTATTTGTTTATTAATAAGCATCTTCTAAAGATACTATTATATAAGTATTATCTATTATTAATTATATTTATTATATTATTAATTCTATATAATATTAAATTATTATTTAAAAATGCTATTTCTATTCTGTATTTTTAATAATAATTATAATAATATAATAAAGAATAAGTTTAAACATAATCATTTTGTCTATCTTAAATTAGTTTTTTGTATGAATTCTATTTCAAATAACATTATCATATATCTTAAATCTTCTATATGAATTTTCCTGATATATTATATAATATAACTAGAAAGATTATATTATAAATAATAGGATAATGAAAACTTATATTTAATTTTAAATTAAGTAATAAGTTTTTTAATTACTTAAGCTATAAATTC